CTCCATAAGACAAAACTCCATCCCAGACACTTGGAAAACAGCCTTTGTTCTTCCTTTGCTGAAGGGAGGTGACCCCACCTCACTGAACAACTATCGACCAATCTCTAAACTCTGCATTTTAGCCAAGGTTCTAGAAAAACTGATAAACTCTCAAATCAAAAATGACCTGGACTCATTTAACATCTTACCTCCACATCAATCTGGTTTCAGGAAACAACACAGCACAACCACTGCTTCACTGAAGGTTCTTAATGACGTTGTTGAAGCACTGGATGCCAAGGATTATTGTGCTGCACTTTTCTTAGACCTGTCTAAAGCTTTTGACACTGTGGATCATAACATCTTGTGTCATAAACTCTCAGAAATCGGTTTCTCAGATCACACCATTGGTTGGTTCTCTAACTATCTTTCAGACCGGAGGCAATGTGTTCAACATAATGGTACTTCCTCCAGTTTTTTAACAGTCAACAATGGTGTACCACAAGGCTCAGTCTTAGGACCCACCCTCTTTACAATCTACATACATAATGTAGGTAAAAACATCCCTAATGCATCCATACATTTCTATGCTGATGACACAGTTGTTTATTGTCGAGCTAAAACTGTTGCTAAGGCTTTCCAGCTTCTGAAATCTGCATTTAACTACATCCAGACTGATTTGTTTCACCTCAAACTTGTCCTAAATGCCGAAAAAACCAAAGGGATGCTTTTTTTCAAATAGGAAGTTGGTCCCAGCAGTTCTTCCTCCGATTTTATCCTCAAATGGTGTCCCCATTGAGTTTGTTGATTCCTATAAATATTTGGGTATCTTGGTCGACTCACATCTCTCTTTTAAGCTCCATGTGGAAAACTTGGTAAAGAAACTGAAAATTAAACTGGGTTTCTTTTTCAGAAACAGATCCTGTCTAACCCTGAATGCTAGAAAACGCCTTGTATCTGTGACTTTCCTTCCCTCAATTGATTTTGGTGATATTATTTACATGAACGCTCCTACAAGAACCCTGCAGATGTTGGATGCTGTCTATCATGGTGCACTAAGATTCATAACTGGCTGTGATTATCGTACCCACCACTGCACCCTGTATTCATTGGTTAACTGGACATCATTAACTTCACGCAGACTCTCTCACTGGTACATTTTCATCTTTAAATCACTTCTTGGTCTGCTGCCTTCATACATCTCCTCCTACATGTCTCTGCGTGAGTGCAGCTACGGAGTGCGCTCTCAGGACATTATTACCTGCAGTGTTCCCTCAGTGAGGACTGAACTAGGCAAAAGGGCCTTCTCCTACTCCGCTCCTGTTTCCTGGAATATCTTACAAAAAGATTTGAAGCTCTCGACCTTGACCTCTCTAAGTG